TTCCTGCTTTCTGTTTTAAAACCCCACAAGATCACCCTGTGTTGAGTTCTTGGGTGAAGGAGCTGTTTACATTATGCTTTTTCTCCCTCTTATTCTTTTCAATGTTATGTCCCTGGATTTCCCACCTGCAGCTTAGTCTTTAGAGTCCATGCCCATTTGTCTCTGCCCATGTTCCTGATGTCATACATGTATTGTTTCAGCACCGCATGCGCCCTGAAATTGCCCGCCTTTTGACCCCCCACATTTACCAGGATCTGGAGAATCATCCCTCTGTTCTCAAGTATGAGAAGATTAAGGTAAGTCTGTCTTACCTCATCTTTCCTTGGTGTCAGCAACTCTGGGGCTATGTTTTCCTCAGGATGGCAAAAGAGCCAGCTTTTTTAAAAGGGAACAGGAATAATATAGACATTGAGAGTACAGACTTGGGTTTTTTTGTTTCTTTTAAAGAATTATGTTTTTAAAAATATGTATTTATTTAACTTTATTTTTTATTATAAAGTTTGTTAAAGGGCACATGTGTCCATGAGAGAGACAGACAGACAGACAGAAGGAAAGTGAGAAAGCAAGCCACCAGGTTCAAGATTCAAACCATGGTCGGCCATGTGGGAGTCCAGCACCTCAACTACCATGCCACCTGCTGGCCCCTTTAAAGAATTATTTTTACTTTTGTTATTATCATTATTTTCCAACTTGACCAGAGAGAAACAGAAATAGAAAGAGGGAAAGTGAGAAAGGAGGCCATCAGATCTGGGACTTGAACCATGGTTGACCATGTGGGAGTCCATGCCTTTAACCACCACGCCACCTGCCAGCCCCCAGACTTGGCTTTTTGAATCCTAGCTCTGGCACTGGCTGTGTAACCTTTAGCAAGTTACATAATTCTGAGTGTCAAGATCTCCTGTTCAGGGATATGCTCCCATGTCATCCCATCACTCTAAGGAGGGAGCTATGGACTAAGCAGTCAGCACAGTGGAGTGCTCAGTAAATTAGCTGCTCTGTCATCTTCTGCCTCATAGTGGCTGCTTGTTCACTCAGTTCTAAAGATTGGATTGAGGTGGTTGTTTTAAGTATTAATATTAAGCAAGTATCTTGAAAACAGAACAGACATAAATTCTTTATCCATTTCATAATTTGGCATGGCCCTAAACAAAATACATGGTGGCTAAGTTGAGAAAGATTACGATATGGAGAGTACCAGAAACCTCCAGTGTCCTGCCACGGTACTGCAGGTAGGAGGGCGCTCCTGCACAATGGCTGAGGCCATGCAAGAGGCCTGGATTCAGTTCCCAATCCTACCCAAAGTGGGCCAGTTCCCAGCCCAACCTAAAGCAGTCCAGGCACAATGCACAGGCTTATAGTCCTAAGGGGGATGATGACAGCATGGTGAGACACCGTTGAAGTCCCCATGTGGTAAGGATTGTGTGTGGCTGTGTTCAGAAATGGTCCCCATGAAATTCACATGTGGACACAGCCAGCGGGTGGAGTGTGATCATGTGGAAGACCTCACCTGTGACCTGTCAGGTGCACCACCAAGCATGGCACCACCTTGGACTTGGACTTGCCTGCACCTTTCTCCCTCCCGCTCTGTCTCATGAAAAAACAAAAATAAAAAACAGAAACTTCCCAAATTCTCGTCTGGAGCAGAGTCAGTGGCAAATGCATGTAACGATAGGAAGGAAAAACAAGTGCCGTGAGTGAACCTTCTAATGTGTCACTTCTTTTACTCTTCAGGGGGTCTCTTCCAACCTCTTCTTTGTAGAACACAACTTCCCTGAACAGGAAATCCAAGAAGGCAAAAGCCATCAGAACCAGCATGAGGCTCACTTTGTGGTAGAGCTGTGCAAGTACTTCCTGTGCCAGGAATACTTGCCGTCCCAAATCACCATTCTCACCACCTACACCGGGCAGCTCTTCTGCCTGCGCAAACTCATGCCAGCCAAGACATTTGCCGGCGTCAAGGTGCATGTCGTGGACAAATACCAAGGGGAAGAAAATGACATCATCCTCCTCTCACTGGTGCGGAGCAATCAGGAAGGCAAGGTGGGTTTTCTCCAGATACCCAACCGCATCTGCGTGGCCTTGTCCCGAGCCAAGAAGGGCATGTACTGCATCGGAAACATGCAGATGCTGGCCAAGGTGCCCTTGTGGAGCAGGATCATCCATACCCTTCGAGAGAACGATCAAATAGGCCAGACGCTCCGGCTCTGCTGCCAGAACCACCCTGACACTCACACCCTAGTATCCAAAGCTGCTGACTTCCAAAAAGTGCCCGAAGGAGGATGCAGCCTGCCTTGTGAGTTCCGGCTGGGCTGTGGGCACGTCTGCACCCGTGCCTGCCACCCCTATGACCCCCTGCACAAGGAGTTCCAGTGCATGAAGCCATGCCAGAAAGTCATCTGCCAAGATGGGCACCGGTGCCCCCGTGTCTGCTTCCAGGAGTGTCAGCCATGTCAGGTGAAGGTGCCCAAAACCATTCTTCGGTGCGGCCATGAACAAATGGTCCCTTGTTCCATGCCTGAGTCAGATTTCTGCTGCCAAGAGCCCTGCCCCAAGATCTTGAGATGTGGACACAGATGCAGCCACCCATGTGGTGAGGACTGTGTGCGGCTATGTTCAGAAATGGTCACCGTGAAACTCAAGTGTGGGCACAACCAGCAGGTGAAGTGTGGTCACGTGGAAGACATCAGGTATGACCTGCCTGTCAAGTGCACCACTAAGTGTGGCACCATCTTGGACTGTGGGCATCCTTGCCCCGGCACCTGCCATAGCTGCTTCGAAGGGCGCTTCCACGAGCGCTGTCAGAAACCCTGCAGGCGCCTGCTCATCTGTTCACACAAGTGCCAGGAGCCATGTATCGGCGAGTGCCCACCTTGCCAGCGGACCTGTCAGAACCGCTGTGTCCACAGCCAGTGCAAGCAGAAGTGTGGGGAGCTGTGTAGCCCCTGCGTGGAACCCTGTGTCTGGCGCTGCCAGCACTACCAATGCACCAAACTATGCTCTGAGCCCTGCAACCGGCCCCCATGCTATGTGCCTTGTACTAAGCTGCTGGCTTGTGGCCACCCCTGCATCGGTCTGTGTGGGGAGCCATGCCCCAAGAAGTGCCGTGTCTGCCATGTGGATGAGGTCACCCAGATCTTCTTTGGCTATGAGGATGAGCCTGACGCCCGCTTCGTACAGCTAGAGGATTGCAGCCACATCTTTGAGGTGCAAGCCTTGGACCGCTACATGAATGAGCAGAAGGATGATGAAGTTGCCATCAAGTTGAAGGTCTGCCCTGTCTGCCAGGTGCCCATCCGCAAAAACCTGAGGTATGGAACCAGCATCAAACAGCGGCTGGAAGAGATCGAAATCATCAAGGAAAAGATCCAGGGCTCTGCAGGGGAAATCGCAGCCAGCCAGGAACAACTTAAGGCCCTGCTGGAGACGAAGAACCTCCTCCAGCAGCTGCTGCCTGCTGACTTCTTAATGCTGAAGGAGAAGCTGGACCAGAAGAATCTGTCCGTGAAGGACTTGGGCCTTGTTGAGAACTACATCCACTTCTATGACCACCTGGCCAGACTGTGGGATTCCCTGAAAAAGGTGCATGTCTTAGAGCAAAATAAAGTGAGGACTCGACTTGACCAGGTTCACGAGTGGCTGAATAAAACACGGTTGAGCTTCACCAGACAGGAACTGAGTGACCTCCAAAGTGAAATCCAGAGGCTTACGTACCTGGTGAACCTCCTGACCCGCTGCAAGATGGCAGAAGGGAGGGTAAAAGGTGGCATAGCAGAAGAGGTCCATAGTCTCCGGGTCATCCTTGAGAGAACATGTAAGTTCACCCAAGACGATGAACGGCTTGTGCAGAAAAAGATGGAAGCTTTGAAAGCCACCCTTCCTTGCTCTGGCCTGGGTATCTCAGAGGAAGAGCGAGTGCAGATTGTCACTGCCGTGGGTCTTCCTCGCGGCCACTGGTTCAAGTGCCCCAATGGCCACATCTATGCAATCGGCGATTGTGGGGGAGCCATGCAGAGGGCCACTTGTCCTGACTGTAAGGAGGTGATTGGTGGCACAAATCATACTCTGGAAAGCAGCAACCAGCTTGCTTCTGAGATGGACGGAGCCCAGCACCCTGCCTGGTCTGACACGGCCAACAACCTGATGAACTTTGAGGAGATCCAGAGGATGATGTAGGAATACGGCACACCGCTGCCTTTCGCCCCTGCCACCTCACGGCTGGGGACGGCTCCCTTGTGAAGGAACCGAAATTTGTTTTTACTGTCCTTTAGGCTTAGCACCTATGTAAGGATCCACTTTTCGGGCTTGCCCACATTTGTTTTTAGATTTATCCCTGCGCTAGAATAAGCACTTTACCTCCAAAGCTGAGAGCACAGCTAACAGATCTCACCTCTTTTTCTCTCCTGCAAGTTAGTGAACAGACTCCCTGGAGCATGGTTGGGGCTTCCCCCTAGGGCTACCTGTGGCATCTCTGGGTCCTAACCTGGTCAGATGTTTCTTCTGCAGTTGCTCGGGGAACAGAACATGAGCTCAGTGAGGCTGACTGCTTCTAATTGCCAGGCACTAACTTGCAGACTAACGCTCTCTCGGAACAAAGTGGCCCAGAGGAGTTACAAACTGCTGTCCCTTCAAGGAGCACAAGAATCCCCCCAGCCCTCCTCCTCGGGCTCCCTCCAGGAGACAGACATGATAAAACAAAGACTTCAACTCACCCTGACCCACTTACATATTCCCTGAGTGGGAAAAGGACTGCCCACATCTGGGGGCTTAGGCAGCAGGCCCAGGCTAAGAAGTAACCCCTAAACCCTTTCCTGTAACTTGCTCTTTGGGATGGTGAAGGTTTCTTCACCTGTCGTGGGAGAGGTTCAGTATAGTGCTGGCTTCCCTGGGCCCTGAATGGAGCTGGACTCTCATCCAGTACCAGCAGCACTTTCCCAAGTGTGAGCCTTTGTCCCAGCACCCTCTCTTGCAGCTTTTGCCTGGGCAGGGTTAGCATGCCAGCAGCTTCTGTAGGCCCCAGACCCGGACCAGAAGCCAGCCCCCAGGCCTGCTGTCTGCACCCCCACTCCCTCGGTCCAGTGTTCCTTAGACACTTAGGCATCTCAGGTCCTTTCTAATGTTGGCGAGAAAACATCCTTTCCTATGTACGCATCCCTTTTTTGTCTTTACTATGCACTTTAGCCTATAAAGCCAATTAATAAAAACAATTAAGAAAATCAGTGGTCCATGTCTGCCTTCAACTTTTAGAAGCAGCTCAGGAGCTTGAGACAGTGAGGACAGGGACAGGGCAAGTGCTATTCATACTTGTGGTATGGAGTTATTTATTTATTTAGCTGATGAGTCACAGTAAAAAAAATTTTCAACCTGTACCAAAGGGCACACTTGAAAAGTTTCCTTCCCTAGAGGCAACCCCGTTGACGTCATGCGTCCTCTCCGAAATACTCTGTCTATGCCAATGTGATGCCTATCCCTGTTTAAGAATGTAGTTCTACACTTGGCTTTTTTAGCCTCGTGAACTACTTGGGAATCTTTCTGAGTCTGTACCACACGCCGTACGTAAGCAAGCCATCATTTTCTGAGTCTGTACCACACATCTTTTATAGGCAGGCCATCATTTTCTAAATTGGACCCTTGGAATAGTAACTGTCAGGACAAGCCTGAATGAATAGCTGTGAACACTCTAGTGTCTAAGGTATGTGCTACTGGATGACTACCATAATTTCTAGGCTGAGAAGTAGAGGTCTGTACTCTGCAAAATTATGACATGGGTTTGCCCAGGGATGCCTCTGTAGCTTTCATCTAATTACGAAAGTGACCTGTGGTTCAGAAGAAGATAAGAATTCCTTCTATAGAGTAGACACTGGTTTCTGCAACTGGGCTCCTCCTGACCCATTTGAGTTTCCATCTGTCTAGCAGCACTTTCACAATATAGCAGGAGAATCCAGATGCTGGTTTTGAAACCCCGAGTTCCCAGCTCTGTAACTGTTCCAAGCCCGTTTCCTTATTAGCATGAACGAGCTAACAGCACCTGCCTCACTGGAGTGCAGGGAATCCTGTTAGA